TAAATAATCAATCTTGGCCACAAGCTTAAATTCAACTTGAAAGTTGATTAAACTCGACTTAGGTTCAAAAATATTACTCCTATAACCGTGTTATCGAATAAATTTGGTAAAGAAAAATGAATTACTCACATTATTAGTTCATAATAAAATCTCAAGTACTAAAATATTTGATGATTATTTTTCTAAGAAAAAAAATTTGCATTTACCCTGTACATTCTGAAGGAAACAGAGAGAAGGATATATCCTTCTATTTTTCCTCCCCACCACTTATTTTTGAATCAAAATAGAAAAAATTTCTCCCCCCATCCTTAAATCAACTAGGCTATTTAGTCTTTGTTAAGACTTCATCTTGATCAGTAACAATGACAAGGTATCAAATTCTTAAATAGATAGTGAATGCAACAATCTTTGAAGCATAAGCATGATATTAAATCTTGCTGGCAATATACTGTCTAATCTGCTGCTATACATGGAAATAGGCTAAGCCAATTTCTAAAAATCCTTCTCCAGGGATTATTAAGTACATCCGATCTGATTCAACTGAATACCAGAAAATGTAAACATGCAAAATATAACATCCTGCTCTAGATAAATTTCTATGTTAATTCTCCAATTGTATTACTGCATCTTTAGGAATGCAGGAAAGCATGGAGGGGGTGGATGAAGTGTCCATCTCCACACACTCCTCCCAGCTTCTTCCAGAGTGCAGCGCACAGATCATCCGTAGCTGTAAGCTATATACAACGTGACTCCCATCTAACATTTTCCACGTCTGGCAGTCACCGATTGTTAGTTGTGGCCATTGAAACCCCACGTCTAGAACTGGGCATTGGGTCATCTATTGGACACAACATGTCAGATTAATGTGAATGAAGTTTAATAAAAACGTGAATGATTACATAAGAGAAAATAATAATAATAATAATAATGTTCACCAATTTTCTCTTCCTTTTTCGGATAAAATAGGTATATGGAACTTTGACCCTATTAGTCTAACAAATAGGCACCAGGCAAGAAGGCATGGTCTGCTTGAATTTTTCCTTACCAAAATGGGCGATGGAGGGATTGGAACCTGTTTTTATACTTTATACCATGGTTCACATCACCCCTCACCACTCAGCCAACCTAAATGGATTTATTTATCAATTTTATTAGACACACAACTTTATCTAAAATACGGAATGCAACGCACCCAAGAAAGAAACAAACAAACAGATAGTTATGACTAGAGTGGAAGTCCATCTTACCATGCTCTTCATCTCCATTCTGGCTTGTAAAGAATGGGGTAAGGTAATTCTTATCTAATGCTGTAAATGATGCTGCGCTGCAAAGGTAAAAAAAAGTATCTACATTAACAATCAAGGAAAAGCCTGTTTATTTCATGATTTCATTTAGGGTGAAGTTCCAGGGTTTACCTTCTCTGGAACTCTTTCAGCTTCATCTTCAACCTGTTCCCTGATGTCGCATCATCGTCATAAGAAGGAGCAATATACCCATTATTTGCCTCAAAGCTCTGAAAAGATATTGTAAATTAGTATTAGCAACAGTATGCAACCATTTGCGACTGACAAAACAACATAGCAGCAGTTTCCTGTGTCCACCGTTAGACTCACATCACTAATTCACTGTGCAGCTCAAACTCAATATTCTACATGACTTAATGGCCTTTAACAAAGATGAAATCAAGTCTAAAATATAGATGGTCAACGAATTCTAAGCCACCCAGATGATCTGAAATGCATTCTATTAGATTCATTGGGAACAAGTTTTGAACTCACCCTTTGTTGTCCATGTCTTTAGATCATCACTAGTAATGCAAAAGCATCAAATTTTATTGACATATTAGTTCAATGTTTTCTGTCTTACAATATTTTAGTTAATGTCAATAATTATGTGTTAGTTTCAATTTAAAATCATGTGCAAAGCATCCAAATTTAATGAGTTTGGATGGCCTAGGTTAGATGGGGTTTAATTGAAATCAAGGGCAGGGATTTATACCAGCCTACCATAATAGTCTCTTAGGATGATTGGCTGTCGCCTTACTCTATGCAATAGGTTTTCATTCCAGCTTGGATTTTATTTTGATTTTAGCTTCTGCTCTGGCTTTAGCCCTAGTGCCGTAAGCTTCTTTGGGCTCTTCCTAATGATTTGAGCATAAAGCACCCAAGCCAACTAAAGAAAAACTTGGACAAAAAATAATATAAAATAAAATGATGCAAGGTACAAACAATTGCCTTTTGCAGAGATGGTAATTTTTCTTATTGCCTTCTGAATGTATATCTTTCACAATTCTAGTGGACTTTACCTCAACTAAGTGACCATCATGGCCATCTCCAACAACTTGTAGAGCTTCCAGCATTGTACCAGTTGAACCTCCAATTAGCAACACCTGAACATTCAGAAAAGATTATTAGTGACAGGGAAATATTAGGTATGACAAGCAAAATGCAACAAATTAATCTCTCTAAAATTAAATTCGCATTTCTAAATATATTCTACAGGTTTGCAGGCTTTCCAGCAATGAGAAAGAATGGCAGCTCTATATGAGTTTCAAAATTGGTGGAAGAAATATAAAAGTAAAGAAGCAACTAGGGAGGTCTTTAGGCATTGTGAAAAGTACCATGAAAAGTACCATTAAAAGTTAAGATTTTTCAATTTAAAGTCAAAATTTGATGGCAAACCGATGTAGGCTTGGGTTGATTGTGAGAAAAGGTTTCTAAAGCTAAGCACAAAGAATAGAACAAAAGGAAAGAGAAAGAAAATAAAAATCTAGAGACCTCACACCTATAGTCAGTATTGTATCCAACAATCCAAGTAATGAAGCGTAATTGCAGTAAATTCTCAAAAAACTTTGGCATATGTGTTGAAAAAAGTGTTAGAGCCTACTTAAGAGGTCTTTTAGTGCCCAAATTCAAAACTACTTGAGAGAACTTTTAGTGCAATGTTGACTGACAGCGGCCTTTCATAGACTTATTTTATGTTGTGTAATACAATATCCTTGAATGATCCTTTTCAACCAGAAAAATTTTCACTAATGGCACCAGAATTACACAAGGGCATACAAGTAACATGACATAAGACAATAAGATGAGAAGTAGGTGGTTGAAATTAAAGCACATGAAAACTCAGAATTAGCATTTAAAATTGAAGACAAGCAGAGGTAACAGCAACCAATGATTTAAGCTACTTTTTTTTTTTTATTGCATACCGTCAACATAATTATTGCTGTGGTTGCCGTGAAAATAGTCTGCCCATGTCCATCTGGAAGATCATGGATTGATTGCAGTGCAAGGGCAAAAGCCATTGCTCCTCGAAGTCCTAGAGAAGACCGTCATCCATTAGAATTTAATCATGTTAAATACCATAAAGCCAATCAACATCCAACTTTCCTGGTGCTTACCACTATACCAAAGTGCTTTTTGATGCTTCAATGGTATTTTCCTATGAATAGGACGGACCAAGTTGACTAGATATGCACAAGAAAAGACATTGGCAGCCCTAAAGAAATATTATAAAACCTGGTTAATACTTTCAGATTGCAACGTACAAAAGAATGAAAAAGCCTAGTGATTGACAAAGAAATATTTTGAAAATAAAAGGATGACAATCTTCAGTTCAAAGGATCATATAACTAGCAAAGCAGCACATTTACCTAGCAACTCCAATAAATAGCTTAAATTGTAAAACAAGTTAAGGAATAACAAGAGGATTTTAGCTAATGAAGTTCAATAACAAATAGTAATTTCAAAGAAAATAACAAAAGGATACAATTGAGAAAAAGATAAATCCAACATGTGACCAACTGTGCTGTTCCATGGCAATATCGAAGCCCATGTATATAAACCTGCAGAAGTGAACATCCAAGTCAGGCCTTAATATAGGAAAAGGAACTTATCAAATGGACAGAAAAGTGAGAAAACACCATCATTTTATACTGGGTAAAGATAAAGAGAGTAGACTGCTTCCTTACGTAAATGTCTCAGCCAGTGATGATATCAAATGAAAGAATGCAGAAACAAAGCGCTGAGAATTTTCAGACAGATTTGAGTAGGTGTAGCGCTTCATCACCTGAAAGAGACCGATTTTTTTTTATTGCACTGCTTCAACATGGTAAGTTATTAATTATAATCAAGATTCCAACACTTACAATTCCTGTAAACAATATTGATACAATACCAGAGAGGCCCAGACCTTCTGCAAGCATGTACCTAAGAAGAAAGATTTTTTACATTAAACTGTCCATAATGTCCATAAAGGAACAACACAACAGAAAAATAAATCAGAATAATTAAGGTTAAGAGGTTGCTTACGAGAAATAAGGAAAGAGAACAAAAAGACAGCACTCCAAGTTCTGAAGACTGAACAGAATATGGCACAAATACATTATTGATCAGAGATATTTCAATGATAGTGAATCATAAAAGTCAGATAGAAGTTCAAAGAAGCAGGCACTTACTTGTCAATATCCAAGCCTGCATACTTGAATAGGTTCTAGGAGTTAAGGTTCAAAAACGCACAATGACATTGACAGCTAAAGTTAATAGTATGAAACATTAAAATCAGAACTTTATAAGGATATTAGAGCAGACGTAAATCCAACTCCAACACCTGCACAGCATATATGAGCTTTCTCAGTCTCACTTTTCATGAAACAAGAAGTAAATCCAAGGAAGAGCTAGAAACAATGGTGAACATTTAATCAGAAAAAAAAAATAACAATCACATCAAGTAACCTGGAGAGCCCATAAATTCCATGAGAAATCAAAACTTCTCTAGATCAACAAACATGGTTTTGGATGTCACCAAATAACCAATGCACCCTTAGCCAAATCAATGTAATTCCTTTTCTTTTTTTTCTTTTTTTTTTTTTTTTTTTCATTATTATTAAAATATGTTGATATCCTCCCAATGTTGGCACTAAAATCTTCTAAAAGGTATGGTAAAACACAGCACTAATCATAGCTTCCCCACAAATTCAACAGATCTCTTCATCTGCTAGATTGGTCCATTTCTATGGGGTTCTTAATGTTTGGTACCACCTTGCATGTTATTGAAGGTCCAGCTTTTTGTATCCAAGCCTAATGGCATACACACATGGTTAAAAGTGATATACAAACTGCAGAGGGATGGGGAATAAATGTGGGTAAGATGGGGGGAGGGCTTGGGAGTCCAAAGTCCTTGAAACCAAATGCAAAATTTGAGAAAGACAACGCATCATCTATCAAGTGATGCTTAGGAGCCTTACGTGTTGATATCTCATAGATCCTAAAACCTAGACTATACATAGACTTTATATTCTCTTTCTTTTCAATTGTATCTTTCACATGCCTGCAGCCTTTTTTCTTGTATTCAACCCTTGTTAATCTCCCAAACAACCTCTACAAACCATCTTTTTGAAAAATTAATATTTTAGATCAACCTTGGAGATATAATACTCAAACACAAAAGAAAAGAAAAAGAATTCTGCATCATTAGTACTCAGCCATCCTGCATTAGCACATTTTAATAGATTTAATGAAATAGATTTAATGAACTTTGATTTCCAGGGTAAATGGGGGTTTGACCCTGAAAACTTAGCAATATAACTCTCTCAACAGACTGAACATGTGCACCTCACAATCATGTGAAAGATTTCCACAAAAAATTAATCATACAAATAAATAACTTAAAGGGAGATAAGCTAAGTATGAGTGAAGCCATTGAGGTTGTAAAAGGAGCATCTATCTTGTAAAGTCAAAATGAGAACCTCATTAACATGATAGAGCTTTGCAAACAGTTTATCACAAAAATCAGTGTATAATAAGAGATTAATTAAGTTACAATAAGATCAAAGAATTCTCAGGATGGACCTGCAGACAAAGAGCCAACAAAGGTCTCCAAAAACCTGACAATCACCATGAAGAAGTTCTCTCCAGATGAGGCATGACTTCGTACTAAGGACATTGTCCTGCATAGATAATAGTACTTGATTTAAAACTAAACTAATAGTATTATAATTGCTGAGAACAAATGGACATATATCTACTTCACATACCTGTACAAGGATATTGCTATCTACAAAAAGCAGAATCACACCGAGTAAATACCATTATGTTTAGCATAAGACATACAAGAAAAGAAACAGAGGAACATTAATAGCATTTTTGGTACAAATACTCACAGCGTCATTCAAGACAGATTCTCCAAATACCAAGGCATAGAGGTTTGTATCTGTGCCAAGTTCCTGCAATTGCAACCATAATTCATAAACGATGTAAAAGTTAAATTCATACAGTTCACTAATATATTTAACACCCAAATTGTAGAAAAAAAATCTCTTGTACAAGACAAAGGAGTGGTACATCCAGAAGTTCAGAACATGGTCTGACAGTTAACATGAAACACTTTTTCCTTTCTTGTTGAGGCCCAGAAAACCTTTGTCTTGTTATAGAGAGTTAGATTATTTATTAGAGTAGAATATAGGTTGAGAGCAAGGGCAAACATCACCTGAAATATGGATAGAACAGTCACAGGGTCGGTTGCTGATATAAGAGAACCAAACATGAGACATTCAACAAAAGGAAGTCTATACATTAGGTACATGAGACCACCAAGGTAGCTGCAAATAAAATGGTTTGTTTAAATGAAATGAAAATGAGGCAAGATTCTTCTATTTTTCAAAAAAAATTTCTCATCTATAACAATTAAAGGGAATACTTACACTAGTACGCCAGTAACAATTGAAGCTATAAATGTTCCTAGGATAGCAAAGGTGACTATGGCCCCAAAATTTGAGAAAAAGGGTTTCTGCATAAAAAAAGGCTCAAGGGTTAGAAGATGCTCAAAGTGCAAAATAGCAGTGTTGAGGATGGTATAGAACCGCAGGAGGTGGTTTCTTACAGGTGATAAGCTAAACCCTGACTGAGTAGGAAACAAGCACGTCAAGAAAAACCCATTGAAGCAATTGGAGAAAGGTTACAGATTTAGGTCAAAAAGGCATTTATACTAGCAAAACAAGCATCAAAATGACACATAAAAAACAGACAGAAGGTAGGATATAATATTATTGGGGGTAAGAGAAACAGCAAGAAGAACTCCTCGTGAAAATTGAACCAAGCCCTGCCCATGAATTGCAAACAAAAATCAGGATTTTCCATAACGCTACAGAAAACCCAAATAGAACTGCGGAAATAGCAATGACCTGATGCTTGTTTCCGTATTAGAGATATTTGCAAGCCCACCAACAATCAAACCTAAACGAGGACAAAATACAAGAATGAACAAAAGAAACGAGATAATCAACCAGTGGATAAATTCTAGGTCGGAAATTCCCTTACCGATTAGCAAAGAAGCGCTGGCCTCGGGAAGATAATAGAACTTATGACGACGAAGGACATGGCCAAGGACGAAAGAGAGAACAAGCATCATGATCTGAAGCAGAATCCCTACTCCGGCCGCCTGCTGCTCCTTTCCGGGACTTCCCGATGCCGGCGATATCAACATTTCATCCTTCCCCATCGATCAAATCGTATTAACAACTATCAATACGATTTTCAGAAAATTTTCCCTCTTCCTCTTGCTCGGAACAAGTTTATGCCCCCTCGTCGTCTACTACTTCTCGCCTTGCAATTCCTTGAATAAATAATAATTAATTTCTTCAATTAAAGTCAAAAAATAGAATTTTCTAATATATAAAAATAACTCCCTCTACTTTTCTCATAATATCATTCCAATCCCTACATTTTAATTTTTTTTTTCTGTACCCCTCCGTCTCCGTAACGTTATTCTACATATACAGAGGCTTTTACTTCTCGTCCGCCGTAGCTTTAACCAGTTGCCCTCTTTCAACTCTTTATCCATTGAGTGGTTAACCGGAACTCCAACTCCAACTCGCCGGCCGGTGGAACAATAAAGGTGCGATTTTTATACTCTTGAATGGCCTTTACTATTTTTTACTTACTACCATGATAGTAAATTTAGCATGGCCAACGATCCTCGAGCTTGAGGGGCAACCTTGTCTGGTTTGGTTGATGGGGTCACGGCGTATATTGGGGATTGTATATCTAGAAAACGTTATCAATTTAGCAAGCATTATTGCGCTCTTGAATTTGTGTTCATCACTTTGCTTCTCTTGTTTAGTAGGGATTATTGCAGGAATGGAGACAAAACAAAATTTTAATAACTTCATAGTTGGGAATTTTCCAACTTTGATGTACATTCCAGACTTCATCTCGGATGCTGAAGAAGCCCAGCTCCTAACTAATGTAATGTATTCATCCATTTGAATTATGTATTTTTCCTGATTTCTGCAAAAAATAGTTTTTCATTGCATTTTCACTTGTAGATTTACCAAGCACCTGTATGCAAGTGGACATCTTTGAAGAATAGAAGACTGCAAAATTGGGGTATGTTATGATGTTTTGTTATTTTCTTTTGCATTGCTTTAAAGTCGCTAAAAGCTATGTTATAGTTTTAGGACCATTTATATTGTGCTTATGATGGACCATTTTCTTGTATTGTGGATATTGACAGGTGGTATTGTCCATGAAAAGGGTCTTCTCCCTCAAGATTGTAAGTAAGATTACCTCTCTGCCTTTTCATTTATGAACCTTATATGGTGTGTATCTCCTTGTTCAACTTTTGAGGTAACTTTTGAGGTTTCGTGTCTTCATTCCCTGTGTTTAGGATTATTTTAATCAACCCCAAGGGTGGTCCACGGTTCAACTCTTGCAGCCCACATCCAAGGAAATTAATTTCCTTGAATGCACAAGCCAATGTGGGGGGTGTCCGATGAGGGATTAGTTTTGAAGTGCATGAAAACTGAACCAGGGACACCCTTACCTTAGATATTAAACAATAAAAGAAAGGATTATTTTAATCTTGTCTTTGCCTTTCCTGCCCTCTGTTAAAAAAAAAAAGCTGTCTTCATATTCTTTATCATGGTGCTATCCATATGTTTTATGTGAGAGCCGGCATGATTTTTTTTTTTTTTTTAATAATTCAGTTGCCTTATAGCCTCTTCAAGTTGAAGGGCTTCTTGTTATTGCAGTTCAACTTCTAACTACTTGTTCATTATTAAAATATTGAAAAAAGAAAAAGAAAAAAGAATCAAGTTGATGCATCTCAGAGGATTAGAAAGCTTGTACTGAAGGTGACTTTGATGCTTAATTGCCCATCAACTATGATAAGGAATGTGAACTCTATAGGTGCTAGAGATTGACATTTGTTCTACAGTTGATCTTAGTTGGGAAAATGGTTGAAAAATGTGTTCTTGCAACAGTATGAGCTTTAGTCTTAAAGATATTAGTAGCAGAAGTTGAGAACTTTAACATTGAGAAATGAAGGTTGATCTGTGAAAGTATTGAACCTTCCACTTCTAGAAGTTATTCCTCAATCAATAATTTATTGCCAAAATTTGTTAAATATCAATTGAGGCAAGATGCATTATATTTATTTCCCTCTTGCAGTGCCTCCTTGGCTAAAAAAGATAACAGAAAGAATAGCTGAAGAATCAGGACTCTACCCTTCTCCAATCAATCATGTTCTCATCAATGAATATCTTCCTAACCAAGGCATAATGGTTAGTACTAATTGATTTCCTTATCTCTCCTAAAGGATATTTCTTTGTTTGTTGCTACGATAGAGGAACAGGGGTTGTCAAACAAAGACATTTGATTACCCAAAAGTTGATGTCGATTACTCTTTGATATCTTATTCCTTGTTTGTGCTGATGGACTTTTATCATATTGACCACAATTGATTGTTGTGCAGCCACATCAGGATGGGCCTGCGTATTTCCCAGTTGTATCCATTTTATCTCTAGGATCACCTGTTGTTATGGATTTCACACCCCATCCAAAACTACAATCTGGGGATATCATTAGGAGGAAGAATGATGAGGAGAAAACTGAAGAAGGGGCTGTGGCGATTGTGGATAATCAGCATCCAATTTCCATCCTTCTGATGCCCAGAAGTTTACTGATTTTCAAAGATGATGCATATTCAGGAAAGTTCACGTCTTATGTTGCTTTTAGTTTTATATAGGAATATTCTTGTCAAAGGAAATAACAAAGTTGTGACAATCGTTGTGTTTTTTCAGATTACTTGCATGGCATAAAAGATAGTGAGGTACACCGATATCATCTGGTAAGAAAAATTCATGGTTAGTATGTACATTTAGTATCTGAGTGTTTCAATGGACTACCTAAGTAACGGATGACATAATATTATTTTCTGCAACCTTTCTTTGCATGTCTTCCTTTTCAGGCTGTTAACAAGAATGAGGCAGAAAAGGTGGAAGTAACAGCAAATGGAGATAGCAACGTAATCCATAGGCATGAAAACAGAATCTCATTGACATGCCGATTGGTATCAAAGGTTCACAAAAATCTGTTCAGATTTTAGAATTTCTCTTGGATCACCCCCCTCTTCTTGCTCTGTGACTACAGTGATGCATTTGAACTTTTCCTCATAAGACCTTTTAAGTGTCTAGTTTAGGAAGTTTTGATCTTTAAGCAAACAATTAACTAACAAAAGTTCATTTGTTTTTGTTTTTGGTTTTTTATGCGAAATACTTGTGACATAAATCAACACAATGCACGCCTGGAGCTTCAGACATGAGACATTGTCAATGTGACTGATAGAAGCTTTCTATCAGTTTATTTATCTTTTTATAATTGTATTTTCTCTTGGATAATCATTTTATTGACAACGGTGGATGATAACGGCCTTATTGCATCAAACCAATGTACAATTTATGCGTCTTAAGTGATGAAAGAATCATTTTTTGTTTTCTTTTTCATTTTGAAAGAGATTGTGAATGTTGCACAAGCAACCTCTGGTGATCTGGTAACATACATCAAATATCTTAATTCATGTCAAGGTTTAAATCTTTATTGAGACAGTTGTGATATTTTTCTATTTTCTCAAACTTTCCCATTGTTCAAAAAAAGAGAGAGAGAGAGAGAGAGAGAGAGAGAGAGATTGTCGATTGTTAATTTGTAAAAAAATATCCGAGAAATAAGTTCTTATTGTTGGAGATTAAGATATTGTAAACCTGACAAGCTTTTATGAAGAATTATATAAAAAAAAAAAAACCATAAATGAACAAAAAAGAAGACAAAATAAAAAAGAAAAGAGGAGAATAAAAGAAAATCCACAAAAATACAGAACAAAGCAAAAGAAGAGGGATAAAACTTCACAACACAATTGAAGAGCAAAAACTTTTACACGAAAAGGAAGAGCACAAAGAAACCAAAAATGAAAAAATGCAATTGGAAAAAAGATGCCGTGCGAAAGAGTAACGTTTATTCTCATTGAGAAAGAGTCGAAACACCCAACATAAGCCACTAAGCTTCAAAAACAAACAAACAAAAAAAAAAAACCAAAGGACCAACCAAGGAGAAGAGTTAATCATAATGTTTCAGTTAAATGTCTTTTTCTCAGTGCTCTTTCTACAGCATAGGGATAACAGGTATGCCACCTTCATTCATGTATCATTCATGCATACCATGTCAACTCCACCATTCTAATAAACCTTGAAAGGTGGAGGCAACTTGCAGGTATACTGAAGCTTCATGGACAGAATATAACTCACAACAGAGAGTCAAGATATGTATAATTCCTGCATCGGTTATACTGAAGGAGGCTGCCATAGGTGCGATCCCACACTCCAATGAAGAGAGATTCTGAATCAGGGCTGAAAGACACACCAGAGATCTCCCCAAAAAAATCGATCTCCTGCTCTTTCTCAAACCCATTCTTGGCATCATAGACATGCACAAAGTCAGCAGGCTCTGCCATTGCCATGAACTGCCCATCGGGTGTAAAACGAATTGATCGAATGGCACCTAAATTGCCTTTAAGAACAGCAACAGACTTTGATAAATTCCGAACATCCCAAACACGACAAGTCTTGTCTTGGTTTCCAGTGGCAAAGATGTTGCCATCAGGATGCCATGCAGATGCAAATGAGAAATCCAAGTGTCCACATAAAGGCATGACAGTCTACAATGAACAACAGATTTTGTGATTAGAACATGTCCTCCTAACTTGGCTGGAAAAAAGGATTAAGTGCAATATATTCAAGGCATACAACAGTAAAGTTTCTGTTGAAAAGAAAAAGAGGAAAGAGCTACCTTCCCTGTTTGAGGATCCACCAGCATTCCATCTGGGTTGTCACCGACAATGACAAGAAGCTTACCATCTGGACTCAAAGAGGTATGCTGTGAACGTAAACCAGATAAAGTGAATATATCAATTAATATCCTGTTTATTAATTCAAACCTGATGTGTAGATACACCAGTGATGTGCATGCATGTTTCTTTTCATTTTCCCCCCTTCAAGCTATGTGGTTTATTTCTTACACTAGTTAATTCAAAACCCTAATAGGCCAAGCTTGTCTAATATCATTTCAGTTTACATTAAATCAAAAGCATCAAGCTTGGCATCAAAAGCAATTTCAAAAATCTAACCCAACATCTAAATTCACCCAAATACTCTTTTCCCCATCCTGTTTACAAGATTCAATGTTTAAAGAGTTCTAACCTCCATCACTGTTCAAGATTCAAAAGGTAGGAATCCAGCTTATATATTTTATTTTAATCATAAAAATAAAGCTGTATTGTTCTGAAGTTATTTGGTCTATTAAGATGGAAGCTTAAGGATTTTGAATAATGAACCGTTTTATAAAAACATGTTGATGCATACAGGTAAACCAAAGTGTTGTGCCAATAAGAACTTCAAGGGTACCTACGTTCACAGGCCAAGGATAAGAGAAATGTTTTGAGAGCTGAAATCTCTCCATATCGAAGTCTCTAACTCCACAATCATTATTTGAGGCCATAAAATGAACTGCACCACTGGCATAGAGTTAAGTTTAAATCAGTATTTTTGACTGGGTCATTAATTTCATAGCTAGAAACACAAATAATCTAAAAGGATAAGGGGAAAAAAAGGCAGATAACCAAGGAAATATAAGAGAAGGAAAACCTGGGAGATTCATAAATTTCAACGGCATTTGTAATTGCATTATCATCATAAGTTGTCCTCAAACAAAAGCTAACTCCTGGTCGATCTAAATACTGCATCAAAACATGAAAGCAATTTATCTATCCATTATGTATCACACTCCTTAATTATCAACCAATCATACTTGGAGTGTGTACAACAACAGTAACGGGGCTTATATAAACATAATAACAGCAAGGAAGTTCACCAGTTCATTGGCTTTAAAATAAAATTTTGTGGCACAATGCAAATTGTTAGCAACAAGAATTGCCAACAAGCTAGACACTTAGGACAAGAAAAGTACTATGACGAATTCAAACTAGTGGTTCAGCTACATGAATCTGTTTCTTTGTTCTACCTATTTAGGCTGACATCCTCAAAAATATATGAGACATGTGCCATCCTCACTACTTCAATCCATGTGAACCTCTGCCACACTTCATTCCTTTTGCTTGAATTGATCCTTTTATATCCAGTGCTCTCAGGCTCAATATTAAATGACCCCAAACATGATTAAAGGAAAAGAACCATATGAAGCAACGCTTTACAACTAAAACCAAAGAAAACCGCAAAGAATATGTTGATATCGATTTCTTATCAACCTAAAATACCAGAACAAGACCATAAATTGGATGGAGTTTAAAAATAAAAGTAAGTTCTACTTCCCTCATAAACCATAAGAAGGTAAGGCTATGAAACCCCCATTTAGTTGGTTTTGGCTTTTCCCTTTTACAGGTTTGGGTACTGCCAATTGGCATGCTCAAATAAAGTGAGTATATTTGCAAGTATAATGCCATTGTTTGCCCAATTTCCAAGGCCAGAGCTAATCTTGCTGAAGCCATCCCCAGCAAAGTTCAGAAGCTTATAGATAAACAAGCCCATAATATATGAATTATGTTGGATACTCATATATTATGGGCTTGTTAAATCGAAGAAAGGACCACAATGTATTGATTGGGCCAGAACTGACTCACTATTATAAACAGAAAGTCAAATTAACAAATTAAAAAAAAAAAGAAAAAAAAAAGGTAGGTTCCCAAGCAGATACTCCTATTACATGCCAGTATTGGCACACATTGAAGTGAATTGCTTGCAACATCCAACAACAACGATGATCATTGAACTAAATATGATAGATACAGCACCAAAAGATGTAGAAAGTTACCTTACAGATAAGTTCTCCCTGAAACCCTCCAGCAATCAACAATTTATCCCGTACTGCTAGCGTACTAACTTGTGTCTCAGTAAATCCTTCCAAAAGGCTCCCAGGATGTTTCTATCAGAAAAAATAAATATTAACTCTCCAATTCAGCAAATATCATAGATGAAACTACAAACTTGCTACTGCTTAAATAACACAAATTTCATGATGAAAGAATCAAGTAACCAGGAAAATAATCAAATATACCTCACATGGGGCCACATGCCCAGAGACATTAAGAACTTCTCTCTTCCTGCCATTTAACGAAGACCAATGAACTATAGAGAAATGAGACATGAGGTAGACATCATGCTTGGATGTTGACCAGACCAAGTTCCGCAACTGCAATTCCATAAATATAGATTCAAATCAATGCTATTTAGACGTTTGTATGAGGCTTAATGCCAGCCTTTAGATTGCAAAAAATATATTCAATTTCTCACATACTTGGAAATGAAGGATTGTTGATTTTACAGATCTTGTATTATGCCAAAACTCAAAATAAGCCCCTCCTTTCTTTGTTGGTTTGCATTCCTAGTAACAAAAAAGGTGGTAGAAGCACAATGTGAAAACAACATTCAATGCAACATGATGGTTTATCCAAAGGTGATACTGATTCAAGAAATACATTTTCATACCTTCTCTGAACTTTCTCCTGACTGTGGTACATTTTCATAATTCTTGTACTGCTCTAACCTGTTTCTCCTATACTCCTGACGGGAAATGCTCAGTCTTTCCCAAGGAATTCCCTGAATATCTTTTCCTCTTCTAGCATCTGCTGCAGATGTGTCAGTTATCTTATTTTCCTGCAGAAACACAAACCACCAAGCCACCACCACCAACCCCACACACACCCCCCCCC